TTTCATTTTTATTGGTCATCTGTATCTTTTATTCTCCGCTAGAGTAAAAATAGTTTGTGAGTCCTTTCTGTCCTCCGAGTGACTTTGCAATTCAGTTGATTGTCCTGCAACCTTAACTCTTGGATGGATTAAATAATTGTTAGGGTTTTATAGATTATCTGTTTTTTCCCCCACATTTTTAGGGTGGGAATGACATTTTCTTGTAGATTTCAATATCTTAAACAGAAGCAAGACCTGAAATATGACAAGTAACTTGAAAAGTTCCAAGTGCAGAATAGCAAAGTTTTTCTTTTTCATGTGATCAAGTCCATTGCCATAGAAACTCCTTTCAGCAAAGGATGTTTCCTAGCTGTTGTATCATTTAGGCTTTAGTTGCAGATAACAGAATTACAGGAGCTATTTTGAAATGAATGGGATATAATTTTGGAAATTGGGTGCTTAAAATCATGGATAAGGTTTGTTGAAGTCTGCCCTAGATTAGAATTCAGAACAGTCCCACAGAAATGGCCTCGCACTCCCACCTCTGCCCCGTATGGAATCTGGGCAGCGTCTTGGTTACTTTCTGCCCTAGGATTATACCTCTTGAACCATGATCTTGGGATCTGGAAACTTCCAGCAGAGCGTTTGGCGGTGGAACCATTTTGTGCTTCTCCGCTGCAGCAAAATGATGCCTTGTGCGCCGTCCTCTCTTAACTGTGTTTAATTCACTTCTGAATTTAGGGCTTAAACACATACACCTGATTGGAAGAAATACATCACAAGGGAGCCTAGGAAATAGAATGTTTGGATTTCTAGCCTTTACATTATAGGAGAGTGAACTAGGAGGAAGTTGGAAAGGATACTGAGCAAATCATAATTTGAGCTAATTTAAAGAGAAAGGTATTTATTACAAGGTGTTAGAAGGCTAACAGAACTTCAGGGAGTTTCCAGAGATCCAAGTTTAGTTGCTTCACAGCCAGGACTTGCGAAGCCAAGAGCAATATCTAACCCCACAAGGGTAAGATTTTAGTAGAAACCCCATTACAACATCTGCTGCCTCTGCCACCAATCTTGCTTCATTACTGCTCCACCTTGACTCTGTCAATAAATGCCACATCTCTAGGGTCTGTTCTTTGAATGCTTCTTACCAATTTTTGTATTAGCTAGAGTGCTTTTGATTATGGGTGAGAGAAACTCAACCTTACCTAGTTTAGGATAAAGAATAAATATATAGGTTATATTAGAGTTCTGAGTTGCTAAGTACAGAATTCACTATATCTAATAGAAGCAGAAAGGAACATAGGACATTAGTTTTTTATAGAATCTCCAGGAAGACTAGAGAACTGGGCTTGGATACTACACTTCCAGGAACAGTGGAAACACCCAGACCCTCCGCTGCTTGGCATCCAATGAGGTCAACACAGATGGCCCAGAAGAGCATATCTCAGTCGTCATTCTTGCCAAACTATCCAGCCTCCCTGCATGCAGCCTCATCTGATGCTGCTCACTTCTTTCTATATCTAAATGTCATTTAGGTTTGTCAGCTTGGCTAACCTGACCCAGTATCTGCACCCTCGTCCAAGGGTATGTGGGGAAAAGTTTAGAGCTTCAAGGAAGGCAAGCTATTGGGTTGTTTGAAAAGTCTTGACGTATTTTTTCTGTGTTTTTTGTTGCAAAAATGTGTCATGACTTTTCCGGCAATCCAATAGAAGCGGGTTGGAAATAGATGTGCAGTTTCTGCCACTACTCACTTCTCTGGCTACTCAGCATCCACCCTTGCTTTCTGTATACGCTTCCTTTCTATACGTCAGCTTTTGAACAGTAGTAATTATTCCTGAGTCAATAGAAAATGTGGTACCATTTGTTCAAATGGGGAGGTCCAACTTTATGGTCACAGCATTCATCTCTGGTTGACGTTTATTCATCCTTTGGTTTTAGTCACAACCCCGTCTTTATAGCTTCAGCATTAAATTGTGAAGGTAAAACTACTGCCAACAGACCTTGTAAAAAATAAAAAGGCAACTGGGGTGCAGAAGGAACATAATTATACCAAGCAAGAAAGGAAATATAGATGTCTTGTTTAATCTTCCTTTCTCCTTTTCTAAAACTCATCCTGAGGCCTTTGTTGGCAATCAAAATCAAATTCCCCCACTATTCTCCTCTCCTTAGGACCTTTGATGACCATAGTTCTTAATCTGGTTGGGTGACCCAGACCTTCATTCCCGAGGGTTTTGAGCCCTGGGTCGGAAGCAGTGTTTTGTAGGAATAAGTCTTTCATAATTCTGTGGGTCGTATTGTTAGTCAATGCATCATAGGCAGAAAAGGCAAGTCATATTTAGAATAGTTGTCTGTTCAGTGAGAACAGATAGCTGCTATTCCAGGATGCCAAGAGTCTAATGTAACTGACATGTTACTAGGAATGGTGCCATGTTGGAGGCGCAGTGTGTCTGTTCCTTGCAGATTGGACACCTGGAGTAATCAGATCAGATTTGGTGAAAGGACATCCATGTAGTGGCACCCATGGGTGATGTCTGTCTCCTTGCCTCTGTGTCCACTTTGTTTATGTATCCTTTGAGCAGTCATTGGCGTGGCTAGGAAAAAAGGCTGATTGATCGCCATAGAGGAGATAACCTTATCCACGTGATATTAATGAGTATCTTCTCTGCAGAGGGAGCATGTGCATAAGAATGGAGACACAAATACCCTCACTCTCAGACCCATCCTGCTGGTCTGCCCCACAGACCTCTTTCCTAAGGCTTATAGTTACCAGCCCTCTAATCCGATTCAAGTCCCTAATCATTGTGACAAGTAAATAACCACAGTTCACAAATGGGTATGGATTAGTACTTCTGGCCATTTCTCCTTCAAGTAGAAGGAGAAAGCGAGATGTTTAATGTTCCATCCTCCAAAGGACCTCCCTTCTTCACCCGCTTCAGAGCCGCTCCTGCTTGGGGCTGTGAAATATTATAGCAGTATACCGTATTTTGCTGTGTGTAATGCACTCCCATGTATAATGGCGCACCCACATTTTTGGCCCAAACTTTCAGGGAAAAAGAAATCTTTCGTTTTAATTTTGTAATTCGAATTTTTGTTTATTTACATTTAGGTACTTGTTTTTTGTATTATAAAGGAATTTTAGCATTTATTTTTTAACATATTATGGTACAAGAAATTTTATGTAACAAATAATTACAAAACACAAGAACAGATACAAGGTAGAAGAAATTTTATGTACCGGTAAAAATTTATGATATTTACGCATCACAGAAAGCCAAAGAACTCTTCATTGTTGCAAATTTGTCGTAAGTTCAACAAAACCGATTATCATATTCCAGGGCATTTTGCATACGGATATCATTATTGATTTCTAGAGTTACACTTTTAACTCATAAGCATAAATAAAAGAATGAAAAACATTTATGTAGATACAGAATTAGTACTACCCATGTATAATGCACTTTCTTATTTTTCCCTCACAAATTTGGGCAAAAAGTACGCATTATAATGGCAAAATACAGTAATCCTGGTTGGTGCCAGTATATCATGCAAAGCCATCTGCCACATTCAGGTTTTTTTCCGTCTAAATTGATCTGTCATTGGGAACTCCCATGAAGCCAAAAGTGAGGGTTGAGGGAGAAATGATGCTGCATCAGGAATAGACACGCCGGGGCGCGTTCCTCGCGTTCAGGAGCCACTCTTCTCCCTGATAAGGGAGTGGTGCTGCTGAGCACACCTGCTTAGTACTCTATGGCTCAGATAGTCTGGATCGGGATGAAGCTCAGGTTACATGGTCCCTTGGTTTCTTTTTGTCAGGCTTCCAGGTAATTGCATGCTGGGGGGGTTATTTCTCAAAAGGAGAATAGTTCGGAGATGAAGAGGTTTCTGCTTGCTTAAAACCGTAGGGGACTATGAGGTCTTACCCTGTGAGGTCTTGCCATATGCTCCTTAAGCCACCCCTCAGACCCTCTCAACTCCATTAGTTTGCTTGTTGGATTGGAGACAACTGTTTGCTTTAGTTGCAGTGCAAATGACAGTGACTATGCGGACCTGGTCCTGTAAGGAGACCACATCTGTAACTACTGTCAGAGTTGCCTCTCAGTTAAACTTAAAATAAATCCCTTTGCCTGAACTCCATCTGTTTTCTCTTTAGACCATGTAGATGAGTTAAATGTGGAGGTGATAGAAATGGCGTGGATACTTCACACGTGGGTCACAAGCTGCAGGGTGGCCTGGGAAGGACCGTTTTAACCCTATAACTCTGGTGGTGCATTAGGGACAGCTGGATGGGAGAGCACCTACCTGTAAAATCGGCCACAACCGCTAAAAATCATGAATGTTATCAGTCATTTTGTTTGAAGGTTTGATGCACCCTGATTTGCATCTTGGATGACTAACATCTCCCTTTACAAAGGGACGTATTGAATATATTTGGTTATGGGTCTCATGAGCGGGAGCTCATCTATCCATTTTTGAATAATGGAAAATATATACCAAAGGCAAACTTGCTATTTTTCTAATATGAACTACACTCGGCTATGTTCTTTTTCAGAGATTTGGATTTTTATTTTATTTACAATAAAAATAGATGAAAATAGAGCAGTTTTTAAAAGGATGAGAAATATTATGCCAGGGGCCAAATGACACCCACTTGTAGCTGACAGTTTTGGAAGTTAAAGTAACTCCAGCTAAATCTATTTAAATATCATTTCTAAAAATTGTACTTCAATCCCACCTGTAACCCAAGAAGAGCTTTCCTGAGTAAGTCATGAAATAGTATCCGTCTTAAGGTTTATAATTTTTAACAAAATTGGAAATGAGAAGTGGAATATGTTGTATTAGAGTCTAACTGAATATAACTTGTTTGGGGTATCCTTTTGCTAAGAATTAATTGCAGTTTTCTCAAACATTTCTCCTAGAATGAACTTCCAGGTGGATATTTGCCTCATGTTAAAGTAGTAGTTTTAAAGGAAAGCAATTTCTACAGTAGCTTGTTTCCATTATCATGTTAAATATTTTTTCAGCTCCCTTGGAAATCACTGACTAGCATCATTGAATATTATTACATGTGGAAAACTACTGACAGATACGTGCAGCAGGTAATTTTCTTATCTTGCTTCCAGTGCAGTTTGTTTCATTTGCTTCATCTTTTCTAGACAATTTTAAACTACATGATTTCATATCCTTAAGATATTATTTTAAGATTTTAGTCTTAATTTTTTTTTATACTTCAGAATTTATAACGAAACTATTTTGGAAAGATACCACTTGAGGCAGTCTTTTCCTTGCAGGTGCCTGGTATAGTTGATGGGAACACCTAAGTTGATGGTATAGTTTAGCAGAAACCTTTTGAACAGGTTGTTTTTAGGAAGTATTGCCAATTTATTTTATTTTATTTTATTTATTTATTTATTTATTTATTTTGCCAGCTTAGACCAGTGCCATCAACCATACAATTTGAGATATTTTAAAATACCTTTTGAAACCCTATGTGACATTTGTGTGTCTATGTCCCCTAAATCTTTGACCTTAATGTAGTAGTTGGTCTTACCTAGTTTGATGCTTTGGTACTTACTATACATACATTTTTCTCCAAAATTATTTGTAAAAGCAGGGAATCATTTATTTTTGAGTCTTTCCCAAATGTTTCAAATTGAGGTAATTCTCTAAGTTAACTTACACTGAGTAATATTACTTTGGGGGAAAGGCACATTTTCCTGAAATGACCTCAAGTCAGTGCTTGTTTCTATATTCTTCTAGTCACATGTCAGAACTGGTAAAGAAAGGGGCAAATATATTTATCACAGACATTACTTTTCCCAAGTATGTGATCACACAGTGGCAAGTGTTGGGTGCTGTAAAAATACATTTTAAAGATCACTTTATAAGTTACCATAGTGAGTTGAGATCATGAATAGTGAATAGCCACCCATAGCTTGTTGAAAAATTTCCAGTGGCAGCATCATTTATAATTCAAAAAGTGCTTATTTGAAATAACTGAAGTAAACGTGAAGACCATGTGCTCTGAAAACCCGTGTTATTCAAAGCAAAAGAGTCCCCACAGATGGTGGAGATGACGTCATGAAGGATGGTTGAAAAATGTTTGGATAAAATTATTTTCAGGAATTTCAACTCCATCCTAAAAGTTTTAAGTTGTCCCCCTAAATGTTTTTGTTTTCTCCTCACTGGGAAAATGGAAGACTGCTTTATATTTTAGTCTGTCTTATTTTTGGATCTCTACCATATATTATTTTCCTTTCCTATTTGCATTCATTATTGTGTTAATCAATATCTGGATTTGATTACATAATCTTTTTCCCATTCCTTTCTGTGCATCTGGTTCCTAATTTGTTTCCAAAATCTGATGTGAGTTCAGCCAAGCTTTACAGTTTACTGCATAGCTCCCAGCATTTAAGGGTAAATGCTTATTTAATTGTACTTAGAATAGTTGCTATCTCTTTCTTCAGCCTGGACTTTGAAAACTAACCATCTCTGAGTATTTTTCTAAAACACAAAGTGTTTTTAAAAAAATACTTTGTATTCTAAAAACACTAAGATTATATGTTTTTTGAGTTTTTTCTCCCAGAAAAGCAAAAAAAAATAATAAGGTGGAAAGTAAATTTGAAACATGAAAATGGTTGCTTAGTAGTCCTGTTGATTCACTCATATGGGAAACAGGGTTGTTCATTGCTTGATTTTTAAAATCTATATCTAAAATGCTATTAATACATACAGTTCTGTACCTCAGAATCTAGTGACTTTTCTTAGAAGTTAACTGCAGTTTAAGAATATGCACATCTTAAAATGGCAGTTTTTAAATTACACTTTAATATTTCATTTTCTTGTGAATTTTTTAAAACAATGAAGTAATTATTAGGCACTGTATGTAAAATATTTTATCCATCTTTTGACTTAGAAACGTCTAAAAGCAGCAGAAGCTGAGAGTAAACTGAAACAAGTGTATATCCCAACTTAGTAAGTAATGGAAATCTTTTAAAATATTTGTTGTTATTAATTCTATAAAAACAAAATGTCAGTTTCAGCAAAATTTTAATCTTATTTTCTTCCACTCAAAGCACGAGACTTGCTTCACATTTTACCACTACAGTGATATTTTTAGAGAGAAAAATGGCTTTTAGAGAGAGAAACTCCAAGTAGACTAAAGGACTAAAGGAAGAATACCATGTACTGTACTTCTATCACAGCTGCAGGGAAAGTGTCAGGAAACTAACCTATGAAACTATTATTTGAAGCAAACGCATTTCCGAAAGCTAACGACTTAATGAAACTTCTAAGCTATAGAATGGACTAGGTTTGGGTTAATGCACATTGCCCTTTTGAGATATGTGGTTTATTTGGTTGATGTTTTTACATCGTTTGCTTGGGGGAAGGAAGGATTAGGGAAAATAATTGGAGTCATACTTTGTAAATGTTGGATAAATAATGAATAGGTTTTGATTGTTTCTGTCTAGCATTCTATCGTTGTGCTTTGGATTTAGAAATCATTGTTATATCAAAATGAATGCCAATTTTCTTTTCATCTGCTACGTTTTAAATGAATCCTAATCTCTTTTTGAGGTCTTTAGCATTTGATTGTTCATCCGTTCAGGAAATTTTAGTTTATTGAGTACCATGTATATAGCGCTATCCTAGGTTCCTTGGAGATTAAAATGAAATTTGCCACAAAGTTCTATGTGCTATTCCAAGATTTTTCTCACTCTATGAGCTCAGCACAGTTGTTTTATACTTAGCCTTTTGTTTACTGAATTTTGATATGTTAAGACATTTTTATATATAAGAGGCCTCAATATTTCTTATTAATCTTTATCTCCAGGCAGATAATATGTAATTTACAGGGCTCATAATTTTTATTCAGAGCTGTAATGTCCCTTTTGCAGAGTCGTTTCTAACATTTTTGAAAATTATATCTTTTTATTTGACTCATTTATAAAAGAACAGCTCCCCAAAGAAAAGACTGTTGTGATTCATGTGTCTTAGATTTTCAGAAGCAGGCAGACCAGCTTCCTTGTACTTGGCAGTGCAGCCACATCAAAGGGAAAGTGCTTTAACCAGGTTTCACCAGGTAACCCAGATGATTGTGTCTGTTCATTTTGCATTGACTTTGGAACCTTGATCTAAGTCAAAGACCTGCTACATCTTTTTGTAAATAAAATATTATTGGGACACAGCCATATTCATTTATGTGTTGTCTGCATCTGCTTTTATGCTACAATTGCAGAGAGTTCAGTGGTTGTGACAGAATTAAAATATCCACAAAGCTTAAAATATTTACTACGCAACTCCTGATCTAAATTAATGCTTTTTGGAGCTCAAAACAGGGTTTCTAATCATACTTAAAAAAAAAAAAGAAAGAAAGAAAGAAAGAAAAAGGTTATATAAATCATATATATAAATAGAATATATGAAGCTGCATTATTGTGTTGAATAAGAATCTGAGTCCTTTGAAGAATTTCCCAGTTTACTCTGAAATAGAATATTAAAAGACAAATAATAGATTAAGAATTATTTCATACTGTCCTTTTGAGCCTGCAGCCTCCTGTGAGCAGAGAGCACTCTGTTCAGTACAAGAAGTAGGAAGGGTAAGAAGACAGGCTACATTCTAGTGTGAGGACACAGATACCAAAGAGCCTGTCTCCCAGTGTGACAAGTACTAAGGTGGAGAATAGCTCGTATGTGGCTGGTATGGTAGGTAAGGGCCAGGAGTTTATCCATCTGGTGAAGAATGGAAATAGATTTTAAACAAGAAAGTCTTGTGATCACATTTGTACTTTAAGATCACTGGCTATGTTTTAGAGAATGGTTTGGGGAAAGGGAGTTAACAGTGGATGTAAGGAGACCAATTATGAAGTTCTTGGAGAGGAAAGGTGATAGGAGGTTGACTTAGTGTTGTGGCCCTGGGAACGGTGCACTGCTTGAAGGTGACTGACTTGTGTGGAGGAGTGGAGGGCAGATGACAGGGGTGAGTCCCAGGTTTCTGGCCAGCACAACTAAGTGGATTGCTGTGCCCTTTACCAAGCTAAGAAACTAGGGCAGAGAACCGGGTTAGGTCATTTTAGTTTGTTCTGTTCACAAAGAGGTGTAGAATATACTGTTGGATATATTGGTCTTAAACTCAGGGGAAAGTTCTGGGCAAGAGGTACAAATTTGAGCTTCATCAGCATATAACATTGTGTTTGAAACCATGGATAAGACTTCTTAGGAGGAGCAAGAAGAAAAAAGTGCCTGGACCAAGCTCGAGGAAACCCAGTATTTATATATCAGATAGAGTATAATAGCTAAAAAAGGACAGTGAGGTGAGAGCATTATCCTCAAAACTGAGAGAGGAATGTGTTTCAAAGAGGGAAAGAAATGAACACTGTCAGATGCTGGTGAAAATAGCCAGGGAACTGAGTGACATGGAGGTCACTGGGGATCTTGAATGTAGCAGTGAGAACCACACAGAAGCCAGGGAGCTGCAGAGGGTGAAGATTTGCAGCTCTCTAGAAAACTAGCTGGAAAGGGCAGTTGAGAGAGTTGTTGGTTTTTAGGGGTAGGTTGGGATAGAGAGCTGGGAGAGTTAAATAGGAGAAATATGTTTACAAGGTAATGAGGAGCGTCCAGGACAGAGAATCAAGTGTACAAAGTTCTCAAGAGGGCAGGATGGCTGAAATCTGGAGCGCAGATGAGCGGGGAGGAAAGTTTCAGGCATTAGATAAAAAGAAGGGCATTTCATATAATGCAGCCTTAAAAACTTCTTTATATGTTTATCTTACAATAAAAGTTTACTCAAATGGTCACATTGACATCAGTCATTTGTCCCCTGAGAATTAATCTGTAGGTATTGGGTTTTGCAAAACATATTTTAAGTGATTCACATTTTAAGTCTACATTCAGTCTTCGCACACTTGTTTCCTTTTGTAATTATTATAATATTAAGGTCAGTGGCTTATTTATTTAATCAAAGAACATTGTAGATTCAGTTGAACAACTAAAGTTGTGTTTACCGTTACTCTTTTTTTCAGGCAGCTCAAACGTAAATTTGTGTTAGCTCTTTTTTAACACATATATTTAGCCCTGGGTTAAATGTCAGACATTTTCATATTTTCTGGGAAGCCGTCTGACATTAATTACATCAGTCACTTAATTTTAAAGGAGCCAGCGTTTCTATCTATATATAGATTTTTTTAAGATCAGGAAGATTATTGTATCCCTTGGAAATCTTAGTCATTCTGAGCCACCACTTTTCATTTTGTACATTTTCAAATGAAAACTATAAGAAGAGAAATACATTCTGTCTGGCTTAAAATGTGTTTTAAAACCAGTTTGTCTTCAAAATACATTGCTGGCACAGGTTAGAAGTGTAAACAGTAGCCCTGTTTCTAGAATAGGGGCCTCAGTGCACTCAGGTTAAATGATTTCTTCTGTGGGAGGTGGTGGCGTGTCACCTAAGAGTTACAGTAACAATACCACAGAGAGATCTTAATTTGCCGTCAGGCCAAGCTCACATACTAAGTTTTCTCTGGTCAGTGGAACTGTAAGAATGAGAAATAGCCGAGAGGAAACTCCTGAGCCGACTCCATGTTGAAACCCCAAGTGTCTTGATAGTAGTGGCCTCTAATTACTTCAGTAGCCATGGGAAGATACAGTCTGCATTTTAGTCATTCAGCGTTTATTTCTCACAAATAATTTGCTGATTTAGTTTGTTTATTTTCTGTCTAGCAAATAGACATGAAAGCTCCTTGAGGTCAGGCGCTATTGTTTACTAGGCACTGAATAGAGATTTATGTTGAATGAATATGAGTTTATTGAAGATATACTATATGTACCTGTGCAGTATTCTTGGGCATGGCCTAGAAGTAGGGGAATTAGCCTATCCTAGATGGGGAAAAGTTAGCCACGTTTGCACAGTAAGGACCAGGATAATCTGGGCTGCGTGTTTCTGAGCAATCATGGCCTCTGGGAAATTTGAATGTACATTTCTGATGTTACCTTTTTCCTCCTCCTGAAAATTTTTTCTTGAAAAGAAAACCTGAAAATGCATTTGTTGGTTTTTCTAATTTCAAATGCTACATAATCTTCCTCATAAAACTTCAAACATAATAGAAATTATGATGAGGAGCCCAAATCTCCTGAAATACTAACTTACCTCCAGAGATATGTCCTGTTGACATCCGGTGCCTGTGTTAAATATGTGGCTTTTGTACGCATTGCGTAGAGTCATTAGGAACAGGACAGTGGTTTTCTGTGAGCACAGCACACTGCCTTTGGCTTAATTTATTTGATTCAAAAAAGTATTTTATTTTCTCAGGAGATATTTGTGACACCTGATAAAGCTTAATAACTTGTATCTTTCACACGCATCAGAATCCTAAGGAAATTGTATTTGGGAGGAGAAGAGAGATAGCTGTTTTTATTTTGTGAGTGTCAGGCATAAGAGATTGGTTTTTACATAGCCATGTTTTGTAAAGATGAATGGTTTAGGTTCACTTTGACCAGTTTATTTCTTCACCAGACATTCAGATGTTTATTTATATGTGGTTAAGATAAATCAGTAATGAGACGTAGAGCCTTTTGCTTTGTTGTACAAGTCTATTTTATGACCTCACTTTACATTTCATTGAAAGCAGCAAACCAAATCCCAACCAAATATCCACCAGCAATGGCAAACCTGGTGCTGTGAATGGAGCCATGGGGACCACGTTCCAGCCACAGAATCCCCTTTTAGGGCGAGCCTGTGAGAGCTGCTATGGTAAGTCTTCTGCACCAGGGCTTTGTTTTCTCTTTGGGGGTCTGTTTTCCGTGAAGTGCAGGGAACCTCTGGCGCTGGGGGGGAGGTGTTGAGCAGCTTTCTAGAGGCACGTGAGGCCAGTACTTGGCAGGGGCACGTATGTAGCCTCTTAGTGAATAGATGCCCATCCTTACCTTCCCACCTGCACATTACATTCTGGTATTGGATTTGCTTTGATTTGCTTCTGTGGGGTCCTGTGTTTGTTGATTATTCCACAGCTGTTAGAGTTGTTACTAGCTTTGTACAAACCATGGTCCCATGAAATATACCAAATCCCCTTTTGGAGTTTCTCAAGATTCTTTGACAAATTAAAGACTCCAGGTAACTCTGTAGGAAAGACCTGTGTGTGGGTAAACTGCTGTTTATAGTCTTCAGACTGGGTTCCCTCAGAGCACTGGTTTGGGACCTGCTGTTCTGTGGTATTTGCTTTTGGCTTCAGGGTCCCACGTCAGAAGCCAACCAGAGACTGGCAGTATTATATATATCAGGTTGGTGAGATGCACTGTCACATAGTTGATATACTTTTTATGTTTATTTAAAATCTCAAACAACAATATAACCTCTTAATGAGGTATTGATGACTTTATGTTTGCTTCTAACCAAAGTGGCCTGAGTGTGAGAGGGGAAAAAACTAATGTTTATTAAATGTCTAATGTTTATTAAAAGTCTACTTGCCCAGTTTTTGTCTCAGTAGCTCTTTGGGGGAGCCTGCTGCCTTAAGGACATAGGGATGAGGGACATTTGTGACTCTGCACCATACTTCACGCCAGGTTTCAGCATTAGAAAAGGCTTTTAAAACCAAATCATATAATTATCTCTCCTGAAACCAGGGAAGGTGTGAGCCAGACAAATTGTTTACTTCATAGAAATGGTACATGTTTAACCATTTTCTACACCATGGGAGCCCAAGAGGAAACAGTTTGTGGAAAATTAGCTTCTTTTGGTCAAGATTTTACCTGGATTACATCATAAATGTCTTTGAATTGGGAAATCATAGATTTTTAAGTCCATTTATATTTTTGTGAAAATTAAAAGAATACTACAGACAAATGATAGTGGCTCAGTCGATTTTATTTTTGATATACAAACCCCTTTCATACTCATGTATTTTCACATATCCCTTTAAATAATTATTCTGTCATTTTTATGTGTATATGACAAATAAGCAATTTTAATTTTATGATATTTTAAATCCATATTTTAAAATAATCTATCATAAAATGTATCTTAATATAGTATAAGATTTATCATTATAGAAAAATTTGTTGTTTTCTGTTTGTCACTTTTTAATGGAATGTAAGTTAATTATGGGGAAAGACATTTGTTGACAAATATTAAATTGCATTTCATTATTTGGGTAAAAATGCTTGTTTAAATATGAGTGAAATTCTATTTTCAGAATCCAAAATAAATCCATGTCTAATATGTAGGATTCTTATAATTAGTGTGTGTGTGTGTGTGTGTTAGCTTATTTTATTATTTGTTTTTAAATTACAAGATGATGGGTTTTTAGGTGCTACTTGCAAGGAGTTCTCCAAAAATAACACATGATAAGTGTTCTCAATAAACTGAAAGGCATTGTGATTGTGACGCTCTCCATTTCCTTTTTTTGACATTGGTTTAGTTTGTGAAGTGTTAGTTGACACCTTGCTGGGCTGTCTGAACAAATCGATCTGATGTAACAGATCAGGGGAAGAATATTCCAATGCAAACAGAAAATTATAATCATTTCTATGCACCTTATTAACTTAATGTTTCAGTGTCAGAGTTTTCAAACTTCAAATGGGGATATACTTTAAATGTTGTATGACAGTAATTTAAACTGCAGAACAAAACTAGCACAGTTTTGCAGGGTTTAGCTATATGATACATCAAGTTATTAGGTGTTAAGCTTGCTGTGATCTCAGCTGCATATGCTCAATTGATATGGACGCATAGTCTTGAAAGGAATTCTGTTTTTTGTTGTTTTTGTTTTTTTTAATTGGGGAATTGGGAGATGGGAACAGCGCTGGGGAATTAGGGGAAGGGGAACAGACAAGTTGCTGTTGTTTTGTTCTTCAGTCTAGTTGTGGAGGACGTTGCTTCACTGGCCCAAGTTGGCACCATCATTGCGCTCTTCCCTGGCGAGGCAGATCAGTCGCCGGCTTCTGGACGGCCGCTCACTGCGGCTGGTGGCCACTCACGCTGGCTCCTGGCTACACATGGTAGCCCATGGCAACCCACTGCAGCAGGGGCTGCAGCCTATGCCGACGCTGTGGAATTCTGTTTTTTAAAGGAAGAAGTTTAAAATAATTATTTGTCTATTGATTGAAATAAAGTACTGGAAAAAAGCAACCTGTTTCTGTCACATTCTGCCTCTATCAAGGGGGCCCATCTGAGCACCTTAAACTCTGGATAGTTTCTGAACCATGGGTTTAGAAATCCGAATTTAGACTTTAAACATTAAAAATAATACCTTTCCAAAAACTTATTTCCAGAAATGTACACAATAGAAAACATTTTTAATTGACAAGCAAAAACTTCCTCAGCAGCACAATATATTATATAGGCTACTTCACCTAATAGCCTCTTTTAATAGGCGCCCCAGGCACTTGATATATATAGAAGAAATAAGTGGTCTTTAATGAATTCTGAATCTTGAAAACTATTTGTATATATTAGACTTGCATGTTTGCTTGTAAGCTGGGGAAAGAAAGATAACATTGTAAACTGAATGTGGCTTTGGAATTTTATTTTAAGTATTTGAATATATGTGTATTGATGTTATAAATTATATAGCAATCTTTGTTTTTCCTTATTTTTCCTCCATTTTTAGCTACGCAGTCTCATCAGTGGTATTCTTGGGGCCCACCTAATATGCAGTGTAGATTATGTGCAACCTGTTGGCTCTATTGGAAAAAATATGGAGGCCTGAAAATGCCCACCCAGTCAGAAGAAGAGAAGCTATCTCCCAGCCCAACTGCAGAGGTACACGAGCAATAGTCCTTTTAGTGTTGAGAAATGTTGTGTTTTACAATGGCTGGATCAGTCCTTGAAAACAGAAGTACACTGTTGGATAATTTGAAAGCAAACAAAGCTGTTTTTATAGCTAAACAGCACCACAGCATTCAGGGCGGGTATGAAAAGAGGGGCAGGGACAAACCCAGTCTTTTCAGGTATTCAAAATATTTGTCTTGTGAGATTACTGAGACAAAGGAAGAACAGTGTGTGTGGGAGGCATTAGCATAAGTAGAGAGTTTACAAATTAAATGTTTGTTTTAATTGCTTCTTTGAAAATAGTTTGCAGCCTTTAGATACTATTGAAAATGTGTCATTACATCAAGTAAAAATACAAATTGAACTTTTTTTCCACCCCTGGGCTATTCTAGGAGGGAGAAGATATGGACTTAATCTTGAGGTGAACAACAGTTGAAGTATGATTTTGGTAAAATTCTCATAAATTGCAGATATCAAGCAGCTAGGGTCTACCAGAAGGAGACCGTTTGTTTTGAGTGCTAATGGGATCTCAGGAGTCCCATCAAGGTTAAAAAATAATAATAATCTGATTAATCCCTTGGCAAATTTTTACTATTGGGAATGTGGTTTTGGATTGTTCAGGTTAATTTAAAAACAAATGTAGGCTCACATCCCAACCCCCTTCTTCTACTCCCCACCCCCCTTCCCCAAAAGCACACACTTTTTAAGCCTCTCCTTTTGGGGGTAGGGTAGTAAATTATAGATGCTTCAGTGGGAGATTTAAGACTTGCGCTTTCCTTTGAGCATGATGCAAGTGGCACTGCCCTTTGACCCGCGCTGGGCTTCACGTGTTTGTTGGTGTCTGATTCTGCAGGACCCGCGCGTTAGAAGCCACGTGTCTCGCCAGGCCACGCAGGGGATGCCCGTGCGCAACACTGGGAGCCCCAAGTCTGCGGTGAAGACCCGCCAAGCTTTCTTCCTTCACACCACGTATTTCACAAAATTTGCTCGTCAGGTCTGCAGAAATACCCTCCGGCTGCGGCAGGCGGCGAGACGGCCGTTTGTCCCTATTAATTACGCTGCCATTAGGGCAGAATGTAAGATGCTTTTAAATTCTTAACCTTTCGTGTTGTGCTGCTGACCATTTTCTCTCTTTCCCTCTCTCTTTTTTGTTTTGTGTTTGTTTGCAATAAACATAAGTTCTTGTGTACAGCCTTTTATTTGGTTTATTTTTTTTTTAACATCGTTTTTGTCTGCTGCCATTTGTATCATGCCAACCTGAAAAAAACAAACAAAAACAACATTGAAACCTCTGCAGCCTTGGTGACAGAGTAGAGCTCAGAAAAAGATGGCTGGGAAGCTGTCCTATCCAGTGGGTTTTGTGATGGAATTGCCTGAAAAGCCCTTACTGAGGCCCTTGGAAGTAAGGTAGTACCACAATAAATCCCCAAGAGTGGTGGCACAGTGAGATTCCATAACTGAGACACACTGTCCAGTTTTCCATGGATTCAGTAGGTGTGAATAAAATTTACCAGTTTACACTGATTAAAAATTGAATGTCTCTGTAGACCTCTTGTTTTTTCAACCTTTTACAGTTATACGGTATTATGGAAGTACATTGTTTTGTAACAAATGCTAGACTTATTAGAAGATTTAGCAAATTATAAATAAATTTTAAAGTCTTTTGGATGAATTTTCTGAAAATACACATTACTTTTTACAAGCTAGTATCCAAATTTACTATGGTTGAGCAGCCTTCCTATTTGTCCAGTTTGGTTTCCATTTCATAATCATATATCATATATATTACCACATAACATTTACATGACTTTATTACTCTTCATTTTCAACGCATTCAGTCTTGCTTATGTTTCAATTTTTTGTTAGCACAAAGGTCATATGTACCAATGAATTGTGGATTGTTCTGTTATTACCATGCATCCCTAAATGTGTCCAGAATTTGTGTGTTAACTCTGATTCTAGCCTTGCTACTTTCAGTCACATTCCTGGCTAACATGTGATTGCTATGCAAGTTTTTTTCCCCTAAAGAATGGGGAAATTTGCTATCTGGCTTGACAGATAGGAAATCTTACGGATACTCAGTAGATGCTTTTCTTTATCTGTGAGATAAGAAAATTCTGATTATGAGATGTTCCATTTTGATTTCAAGAGGGTATCCATAAAAGGCGTAATGATTGAAAAAGATTTTGTTCCTAAAAGATAATTTTCATGGAACAGGTGAAAGGCTTTAAAACTTGCAGATAAAAGCTTTATAAGAAGACTAAAAGTACTTTGTAAAGGGAGCGGAAATTGGTAGTAATCTCTGAGTTCCATGGAGGGGAAAACTAGCTACATTAAACTCGTATATTTGAGACTTGAGGCTTACATTGACGTTTCGTGCTAGCATATCTGAGTTCATGGATTTATGCTATTATCACTTATTAAATCCATGTTAAGGAACTGAAAATATTTATAGTCATCTAAACTGCTTAGCTGACTGATTTCAAACATGCCTTTATATATAATTTCTTAAACAAAAACAATCATAAAACATTTGAGAAAGAAAATGAATGAAATTCTTCCACTAAAATTGGCCAGGATCCAGTATCATCTTTGTTCCTCTGAATGGAAAAGAAACCATCACCAACTAAATTGGCTGTTGAGGAAGCTTGTTTGTCATGCTCCTCTGTTCATTTCTCAGTGATTTTGCAAATTTCTTCGTTTTGATTATTTTTCCATGAAGTGTAATTTTCTGTTGCTTCATTTTAATTTTTTCCCTCAATTGAAAGGCCATGCAAAAAAAAAAAAAAAACATGAAGATTAAATTACCTGTATTTTATTTCTACAAACAAATGATGATTAACAGTCATTTGTTGTGATGAGATTCAAGAAACATATTTTGTATTTAGCTTCATTGGTTGTTAGATTCATAGAGAATTAGATTCTCAGAATAATTGTTGGGTTGTCGGAAAAGTCATGACGTATTTTTCATTGCAAAAATGCATCATGACTTTTCCGACAACCCAATACTTTCACCTTGAGATTTAAAATTAAAAGTTTCAGCAGCCATCTATCTACTTTTTTTTTTTTTTAGAGAGAAGCAACTAACGAACTCTTCCTAGCATCTCATTGGTTCTTATATCATCTTCTTCCTTCTTATATGTACCTTATTACAACCTCTTCAACAGATCCCTTGATCTTGACTTGTTAGCGAAATTATGTGTTAAACCATTGATGTCTTTAAGCAGTCATGTCTTTGGTCCAGTGGGAGTGTATAAGGTTTGTGGGGTTTTTTTTGTTTTGTAAGGTTTTCGTGGTCTCAAAGGCAGTGGTGACCCTGTCCCTTCCCCAAAAAGTTAAGAATCACTATGATGCAATATGAATGTACTTTCAGATCAGGTAAAAGTTTGTAATTCTTGATATTGTTAGATCAAGAACTCCAATTAATGCATTTTAGAGTACTTCATCAGTATTGGGAAAGGAAAACAGTTTCCCTGTGAACTTGAGCCTCTTCCTCTTATAAGAACTATAAAAACCCCTTTAGCAGAACCATCACAACCAGTGTTATAGCCAGAGTTCATGGGGTGACTGCATAAGAGTTGAGAGGTGAGGAGCTAAGGAGATTAAACTCAATTAGATGGGGAAGAGCATACTCATAACTGAGCTCTTGACTTAAAAGTTAATCCTTGTGTAGAAGAAATTTTTCTGGGTTGTTACAGCAGCACTCTGTCCTTTATTTTCATTAAGAAACTGGTATTAAGACTACAATATAGTAAAAAGGGGAATCTTTGTTTGCATATATGCAAAGTATCCCAAAGAAAACGGAAGTAATAACATCCATGGGAAGGGAAGTGGGCGGCAGAGAGGGAAAGGGGGTTGGGAAGGAGACTTCCCACCTTTTAGATCTTCAGTTTTGAACCATGGGAATATGTCTCCTATTTTAAATAGTCTAAAAACTGAAATAAGTACATAGTATAACCAACATGTTTAAAAATATGTACATATACATATAGGGAAAATGATTTTTTAAAACCAGTTTCTCCAATACCTATTTATTTTAATAATATACCTTTATGTGTGAATATATAAGTCCATGCCAAAAATTACTAACATTAGTACATTTCCTGAGCCAGTTCTAACCACATAGATAGTGCTTATTAAAAATGCATTGGTAGACCCACCCAAAACCAAACGTTACGTAAAGAAAAGCACCATGTCCTTGACCAGATGTGCAGACCGACTGTGGTTGTAACAGCATCAAGTTTCAGACAGCTTGTCTCTCCCGCCACCCCCCCCACCCCCTTGATACTCCTCAGTATAAAGCCTCCATGTGATAATGGTGTTTCTCCTTTGTTATTGCCATCAGACATTACCTCTGAGTTACCAGATGACTTTGCCAAAGATCTATAAAATCAACACCTGATGAGCAAGGTTACCGTTTTAAGATTCAGGAAGTAGGTGTTACTAGCATTCAATAGATGAAGCTAGATCTACAGAAGTGGATCCAAATGACATACCTGCCACCTTTGTAGCTTGCATTGGTCAGTGAGTGGTTTTCAAGTTGATAACACACCAGGCTTGAATGACAGCAGCATTCCCCAGTATGCAAGTTCTCCAAGAGGCATCTGGAGTCATTTTTTTCTGTTTGAAGATGCTAATTTAGCTTGGAAGTATCCCAAGGCCCCATTTTCATAAGAAATTTGTTGTATATTCAATGAGTTTTTTCTAGAGATGTCTCAACCAAAGTTAATTGTATTTGGTGAGGTTTTAAGCTCTACCATTAGGAGAGAACAGTTTGGGGTTTTTGAATTTTGGTGTTTTGGGTAGAGAGTTTATATTTCATAAAAATTTGTTTTTGAATGGATTCTTTAAATTTTTCTTAAGATACAAAAGTGATTACAAATCTCATTGCCATTCCTACCCTCTTCAGGGTTAGCCACTTAAAGTATCCAGAGGTATTCTGGACTACATTTTTAAAAATTAGGTTAATTTAAAAAGTTTTTAAATTAGGTTAATTAAAAATCAACCTAAGAATTTTTAGGTTATTTCCAATCGTTTTCTATTATAAGTAATGCTGCAACAAATATCCATATATGGATATCATTTTAGACTGATACGTGAAATGTGAATGTACCTTACAAGACCCATAAAAGTAAAACATCTGGGCCATGGAACATTTTGAATTTTGATAGTTGCTACCCAGTTGCCCTCAGAAAACTATTGGAAAAGTCATGACGCATTTTTGCAATGAAAAACAAAAAATAACATCATGACTTTTCCGACAACCCAGTACAATTTACAGTCACAATGTCCAGAGAAGACTGGTTTCTCTAGGCCCTTGGCAGCCGTGTTACCAACCTTTGAAGCCCTTGACTAGTGACAGATGACATGTAAGTTACATTAGCTAGCCTTTCTCATTTTAAATGAGACAGGAATCTTTGCGTACACATGAAAGCCATGTGGTTTTGCCCCAGCCTATTTTTTATTAGAGACACTTACTGACTTGTAACTACATTTTAAGAAAATTAGCTCTTGCTCTGTGATATGTGATGCAAATATTTCCTCATTTTATCTTTGACTTTGTTTATAATTATTTGCCAAGCAGATATTTTAAAAAAAAAGTTGAATTTACCTTTTTTTCATGGCCCTGGATTTTGTGTCTTGTTTAAAAATGCCTCTGCAGTTCCTAAAAGAAATTCTGTGGATGGTTTTATTTTGATGGAAATCTTGAAATCCCTTCTGAGATGTTTTTGTGAATTTTAATTCAGTGTTTACTTTTTACAGTTTTTCTGTTTCATTTTCTCCCCTAATATTTCCAAAACAGTTTAGAGAAATGGCCATGAGTTGCAATAAAAGCAATAGTGTTTCTCCAGATTTACAAGGAGATGTAGATCATCTTCGTGGAAACCAAAGAAATGTGCCTTGTGTTCAGTCAAGTAACTTGAGTGAGATACAACTGTTCTCCCTCTCTCTGGGCAGATTTTGATTCCTTCTAGGTTCTTGGGCATTTCTCAGGTTGCTTTCTTTATCTGTGCACTTTTAATGCATGCTAATGAATTTGTTGAAATTGTTAGGTGAGTAATTTGGGAGCAAGGACTAACAAGTGGCGCCACTGGCCTGGTCTTGAGTGCAGACCAAATTCTTTTTAACCAAGTTCAGTGTGCACCTGATTGTCCTGTTTACGACCATTCCCTCGGAGCAGAATGTATTTTTCCTATTTGTATTCAGTGTATATTACTGAATGGCTGCAATTCTTGTGTTAAACAGTAACTAGGTAGTCTTAGCACCTTTTGTCCAAGTTTCTTCATAGTTGAGACTGATAATCCTCCCCACCAACTACTTTTTTAAAAATCACAATGAAGATTAGTAAAATATGGATCCTCCTAAAGAGTTTTGGTCTCCCACTCAGGTGCTCTGTCAATTATCACTTGGCACAACACATAATCAACTAATTTAATGAGAAATTAAAAGCAGATTAGGATAATTCAAAGTGAAATATTTGGGGATATTGTGTTGGTGACCCCTCCGATGGGTTTGTTGATTCCTGTCAAGGTGATTATTACGTGGGAGCCCATGACTTGCAGCCACTCTGGCACTTTTCCTTCGGGCTTCATAGACTGGGATAAGGAGCAAAGTTAATCTCGTTACTAGTAATACAGTGATTGCCTCTTTTCAAAACATTGAGGAAATAACCAAGGTGATTCACTCAAGCTTTATTTTATTGATAGAAAAGAGAAAGTTTTCTCTTGTCCGCATCCCAAATAGAACTTGAATTTTAGGTAGATTAATAATATTAGGAAGGACTTATTTAGTATTGATCCACAGTGAGTTGACAGGTGTTTGAATCTTGAAGGATTTGGACTACTTTTTAGTGTTTAGATTACTCTTCCAAAATATGCTTATCAGATTTCCACCTGTAGCTTCATTATTAAAAACAGGTGCAAATGTTCATAGCTTAGTAATTTTTTCCCCCAAAGGAAATCAACTGACTAGGAGAAAAAGAAATGGAATCATTATAGTTGACAGTGGTTGTGTAATAATTAGCCAGTGTTTGGGATGCCTACTCAGATTCCTATTATTTGATGATCTCTTCAGTATGTGCTTGTCTTTTTCAATATTTTTAAAAATGCTATTTTCCCACCTTTTTCTGTTTAATAGATATTAGAAAAGACTTTCCTTGGTGAGAGGGCTAGAGTTCATGAAAAAGTTAATTTTCAATTTTAATTTGAGGTTCCAGATTGAATTGTACATTTTAACACTTATAGTACAGAGAATTCCTATTGATGTCAGAGGAAATTTTCTGTTTATATGTCTGAAAATGTGGTCTTAGCCTGTGAAAGCACAAATTCTCTAGTAGAATCAAAAATCCTGTAGGACATTTTTGTCCAATATTTGAAGGTGGGAAAAAGGCATAAACATAGTAGAATCATACCTGCTAAAGCTACTCTGTTAAGCTTTATAACAATTCTGCCAATTTAAGAAACTTCAATACACACTTCTTTGTCCTTTCAAACTCTGTTTTTATAACAAGTCTGGTATGAGAAGTAGCCATTTTCCACATCTACCCTTCTAATGACAGCTAATTAAAATGCAGAGAGTGTTTGTGCTGTATGTTTTATTTTTCTCTGTCTGAAATGTTTTATGGTAGAGTATGAGAAGTGTGATATGAACTTCTATGAACTAACATCCATCCTCACAGTATCTTGCTAATTCTGACTAAGGCTCTGCCTTACAGGTGACCTTTTAAATGTCAGCACTATTGACATCATAGTAGGATATGAAGAATAGAAAACCAGTAATAAAGCCAAATGGCCCATTTTTACCCTTGTGAGGCTCTCATCTAATGGAATTGAGTTTCACCAAGCTATTATAGATGAGGACTTCTGAGTGGAGCACCACCGCATCTAGGTCAGCGGTGGCCAAGTGGGTTGCTTTTGTCAGCTCTTTTTTGTCTTCTATGCCAGGTTCATCTTACATTAGGATTGATTCCACCTTGTACTTCATGGAAACTTTTCTACTGTAATGTAGAAAGGCCATGGCTAGAAAGGAAGCATATTTCCACTCCTTTTCAGATGGGCACACACAGAAAGTGTGTGTATAAGATGTGTGGTAGCTACTACACTCATGGGGTTTCAAAGGGAGTGTTTCCAGGTAAGTCCCTCATTCAGTAATTTGGAACCAGAACTGGAAATGGTTTTCTCAAACCCAAAAGGAAATCAGGAATCTAAGGATGACTATTTTGCACTGTTTTCCACTTGCACTTTTGTTTCTGCGGTATGGGTAGAGAAATCGGCCTCATTGGTTGTCTCCGTGTGTCTCTCCTCAGATGCAGACAGACATGCTGAACTATCTGGAAGTCCACTGAAAAGCAAAAGCACTAGGAAGCCTTTGGCATGTATCATTGGGTATTTAGGTGGGTATGTTCTAATAGACAAAAAACTCAAAGAACAATTCCTGTATCTTTTAAATATTTGGCTATTCCAAATTGACATAACCTTCAACTAAAGTCAAGCCTTTCAAATAGCTGAAATTGGATGCCTTCATAAGAATAGTCGATTTATTTTGTTTTAGAAACTTTTATTACCAAAACACACACAACATACACATGGTTATGGATATGTTTACTTTTTTTAAAAAAAATTGAATAAAAATGTAACATATTTATGGATATAAATACAGATTAAGCAAAAAGAGGAAAGTAATCACTAAATTGTTAGAGGATGAATAGTCCTAGTATTTTGATTTAGATCCGTCCCACTATTCCGAACCCTTAAATAGAAGTTTGGTTTATTTGTTTTTTAGAAAAATAAGATAATTGATTTTTAACCTACCTTTAAAAAATATTTATAGTTTTGATGTGCCAATTAAGGTTACTTTGAAAGGGGAACCTTTGTACTGCTTTCTGAAAGTTGCCAAAGGCAATGGTTCTATTTATATGTTGAAATATCACAATTAAGAATATTATAAAAAATTACTGCAATAACCTCTTTTTCTCTTTTTGTTCTTTTTTCTTTTTTTTTTTTTTTCAGTTTTAAGATAAATAATTTATAAAATAATGGTTGCTAAAATGGTTCCCAATATACCTAGAAGCTATAATGGCATGTTTTTCTTCTTCTAATATTCTTGCTTTTTCTTTTTCCCAGTAAAAATGAAATATGTACTCAGAGTTGCATTGAACCCTATTGCTTTGTCAGAATTTATAGTTACAAAGCATTCAAACTTTAGATATTCGGTCTTTTAACAATCAAAGTGTAGCTTTTAGCTTGGTATTTTATCTGATCCTCATCAGAGTCTTCTAGGAGTCAGAAGCTCACAGCTCCCTCTTTGATTTTACTCTGCCACCTTATGTCTTGTTTTATTCCTTAGAGGCTAAAGAGTTGCTTTGATAGCCCCTGAAAACATCACATGGTTATCATAGGTATGACCTAGGTCATGGTGGTTAAGTCCTTGAAGTTTGCTCTCTGTCTTCCCTTGCAGGACCTAATCCTAGAAGCCCTTTCCCACCTGTGAAGGAAAGTATCGGAGCCTAAAGAATAGAATATCATATTGCATATTAGTCAGGCTTTCCACAGGTCATTGTGTATCCCTCCTGTGGGCAAATTGGTCTCTGCCTCTACTAGATAAGCCCAAAGCTGTGCTGTTCTTATGAACTGAACCACATTCCTACGTAACACATTTTTGAGTATTTACTATGTCCAAGACACTATACTAAGTGATTTAGGTAATACCAAGATGAATAAGGCCTTGTCAAAAATGCCAGGCTAGTGGGGAAAGCATGCAGGTTAGGACACTTAAAGGATTGGATCTTATAACAGCATTGCAGGTAATAATGCATTGGGCAATTGGAGGAAGAAGTGGTTATTTCTGATGAGAGGGCAGCCTACATGAAGAAAGGAATAATATTTGATCTCAGCTTTGAAAGATATGGAGGACTTGAATAGATCGAAAAATAGGAAAAGAATATTTTTCCCCCTATGAGGCCAAGAGAGCCAGACAAACAAAGGCTTTAATGAGTCAAGATACCTGAAAAGGTCAGGAAATGCAGGTTGCCTAGTCTGAAGGGAGCATCGAGTGTGAATTTTTATAATGAAAAACAAAGCTGGTAGACAGCCCTTCAATGCCATGTTGAAAAAAAAATCAGCACTGTATTCCATTAGTACTTGACCCGTTTCTAAATTTTGGCAAGTGCAAGATTTGGGCCAGAACAAGATGTAGCAATTCGAACAATCCTAACAACTCTTCCTAAAGCTCAGTAAATGAGGCCGATATCCCGGCCCTCACCTGAGAAGACAAGGCAGCTTGTGCATAAGTCGGCACACTGGGTGTTGACTCTGAGAATCAGTGAGCAGGTTTTGCTTTGGAAAAGAAGAGATTGCCCAGTACTAGTAGTAGATTAAGGTCGTTAAATCCAATTCCTAATGCAATTTCTGTCTATCTGCTCTATCCAGGAAGTGCAAGTGGCTCTGAGCTATGTGACTGACAACAGCACACTTCACATAAACACGCATATACCACGTGCACATTACAGTTTTATGATGTACCCACCCTCAGTCAAAACTTTTCACCTACTACCGCTTGACTCTAGTATTTGGAGATTGGTATCAGATTTCATCTGTATCAAAATGTTCTGAGCTGGGCGTGATTGACCCTGGTCCTATACCCTGGTTGCAGAACCAGAGGAGGAATCCCGTTTTCCAGAAAGCTCTTACACGCCAGACATGCTACATGCTAAGTTGTGGTTTGCTAGATCACAGAGGTAGTTTTCTCTGAGGAGACCCGCTCCAGATAACTTTTGGATTTCTAATACCTTGAAAGTCAGATGCCTTATTATTCCCTCAGTAAATATCATGTTAAGTGACCTTCTGTAGTGTTTTGTGGTTTGTTTTTTTTTTTCTCCCTTGTATTCACAACATGAAGCTCAGAGCTCCAGCTAGCAGGGAAGAACCAGCTCACTTTTGATAAGTAAAGCAGCCATGGTAACAGCACTTGAAGCTGATTAATTATGCAAGTCCTTGGGAAAACAGGCTGGCTTATAAGGAACTGTCAGCTCAGAAAGAAATAAGATGTGTGCCTATTAGCCAGTGAAGTTCACGCCGATTTTTTAATACCCTGTTCTGAGTTGAGAAACCTTTTTTTCCCCCTCCGTTAGAGATCCATCCTTCGAAGAAACCTAACGTGATTCGATCTACACCAAGCCTGCAAACCCCAACTACCAAGCGGATGCTAACCACCCCAAATCACACGTCTCTGAGCATTTTGGGGAAAAGAAACTACAGTCATCACAATGGCCTGGATGGTATGTAAGCCCAGGGGATCCAGGGCTGATCTGAAGGGCCAGGGCCCCTCTGCGCTCGCCCGCTCCGGGCTTCAGGCTTTGTCTGCCAAGTCTTAAGAATGTATCACAAATGGGCGCTTCTACTCCCTGTTTGAGCGGAATGTGTGGTAGGTGGGATAAGAGGGAAGGTAGCCATGTGCTCCGGTGAAGACATTTGCCAGGTGATATTTCTCTGTCTCTTCAGGAGAGACCTTTGTGTTCGTATTTCCTCCAAGGAGACTCATTTGGAGATGAAGTCTGTATTTAGCAGGTTGCCGCGGCTGGGTAATAATGGTCTTGCTGTGATGCACACTCACTGCTCATTTATGTTTTCCTGAGCAGAAGAGATTATTTCGCCTTCTGTCTGAGCGAGACAGCAGTGCTCTCGGGGGGTTCTTCAGCACTCGGTGGATCATTTTGAATTTGGCACTTGTCCTCTACTTCTTTCACCTTACAAATTTTTTTAATTGCTCAAGAGTCTACAAGTCAGGAAAGGAATTGCCTGGATGATGGCCTAAATACAGAAATAATAATTAGTTTGAAATGGAAAAACGGAAAACTACCACCTCTTATCCAAGGTACTTCTCTTGGGCTTGGCCGTATAATGACTCTTCAGGTGGAATTAAATTATGTTCCCATTTGGACTATAAACACAAGCAGAATAAATCATCCAGACAGTGTATATTTTTCATTTCAATAGTCCTGGAGTTGGAAACTATCTTCATTGTTTACATGTTGGCATTTATTTATGAATGAAACTCTCTCCAGGCTTTTCATGTCATATGGAACTCTACATTCCTGCAGTGACAGTAAATTATTTATAATGAGGCCCTAGAGCAAGGATGTGAAATAGACCTTTTAGTAATCATTTCCCATGGTTGTGTTTTTTTCCGACATGACTCTTGATGGTTGTAGTGATGTCAACATGAATAAAAAATTGAAAGCGAGGAGTTTAGTTTGCATTTATAGGCTTTCAATGTGTTATAGGTATGGCTTCCGAGAATTTAGCTGCACAGTAGCCTTGCAAAAATTACTTCCTTGCTAATGAGAACATGAGCCATATTTGCCACAATATGCCCAATGTCCAGACAGCAGAAGACAAAGGGAGGATTGTGTCAAAATGTGGAGATTGGATTTCTTTCTAGCTTTTCCTTGCCTACAACCTGGGGCCTTTGGATTCAGGCTTAAATTTCATCAGGAACTTTTTTTCCCCCATGTCATCACATCCCTGGCCTCTTCAGGCGTATAGTCCTACTGCAGAAAGTAAAAAGTTCTGGTTCATTTGATATGTAGACATATTTATATCAATATCTATCTATCACCTATCCTTTATGGTAAAAGGACCCTTATGACTGATGTTGGAATCCTTGCTTTCAAGTATCTTTTTCCACTCACACCCCATCGTTATCCTGGGTCCCAGTTCTGCACTGCAACTCCTGCTGCTCTTTCCTTGTATCACAGGTTCCTGTCTCTTTGGAATTTCTAAAAACAAACAAAAAACAGTGCTACCTGGTAATGTTCCCTCTTCTAGGGCTGTTGGTCCCATTTTTTTTCTGAGTGAAAACTGCTACAAGGTCATTGCTTCTCTGCTCTGAACAGGAGAAGGGCAGGTCATACAGTGAACCCCTGGCATCATGTTGACTGAGACCTTCAGCCTTATTGAGGAAAGACACTTGTTTCATTTTCTGAAGACACCTAGCTGTTGAAACACTTATTTCTTCAAGACCCATTTGTGTGCGCTCTCCTGTCGTGGTAATGGAGAGGAAGGCTGATGACATGTGCCTTACATTCTATTCACATGACAGAAGGTTCCAGGAGGTCAGAGAATTTAACTGGTTTGCATAACAGTGTATCTCTACTGTCTAGCACAGTGTCTGGAACTTAGTAGGTGCTCAATAAATGTTAGTTAATAAATGAAAGTGATTGAGAAAAACGAGACCTAGAGAGGTGAATTAAAATTTCCCAAGTTACCAGGTATCACATAAATGGATTGGGATTCCCACTCAGGTGTGACTGATTTCAGGGCCTGCCCTTGTAACCACTGTTATTAATGAAATTGTGGCTCTCAACTGCACTATATTAGTCAGCAAAGTAGAAAGTACAGAAGTTATTTTAACAGCTAATAAAGGAAATCAATATGACAGATATTGGAGGACAGAATAGGTAAATGCACACGGGGGGTGGTGGTGGCGAAACAGGAAGCAGCCATCATCCCTCGGGTTGGGGGAGCAGAAGGAAGAAGTGGGGGTTACCCACAAGCTGGAAGCTCCGGGAGGGCCCTGAGTTGCTGGAACTCAGACGCCTGAGGATAGGGAGCTGTTCTGTCGGCGCTGGCATCTCCCAGCAGATGTGATGAGGCTGGTTGGTTCTGGGAGTGTGAGGTAAAGCTGGGCACTGGAACAAACTGGTCCTCTACTTAGGCCATGCTGACAGAAACAGGAAGAAGCAAGTCCCTTCTCCATCCTCTCGCCTTGCGGGCTCCTTCTAACGCCCCCTAGTGGTGGCTAAGGAGAAAAGTGTGTGCAGAATCCCAGTCCCAGCATCATGAAGCTGAGCTTAGATGGAGGGAGGTGGAGCTCAGATAAGAGTATAACAGAAACACACATTTTGGGAAATGTCCCCTTTATTGTAATCCCAGTGGACCTTTTCCTTGGGATAATGGGTCTGTTTCTTATTTCTTCGGTATATAGGATCCTAACTAACTTGAATTTCCAAGGTGAACTCAAAATACCAGCAAAAATGTCAGGCTAATAGTGAGTTTTCATGGGATAGTTAATACCGTCATATACTGGAATTGATAGATACAAACTCATAGGAAAACCTTGCACTGTGTAATCCAATAATAAGATCAATTATCGTCGCCATGTAATTATGTCAGACAGATGAGCACACCAAACAGGCTGTTGATGGATAATTTAACTGGAAACAAAACCTGATTGTACTGAGATATCCAGGTCTCTCAGCTTCAAGGCTTCCTGTCCCCTTAGTTGCTTGGCTTCTTCACTCACCCTCTATCTTCAGGTGGGAAGATGTGTCTGACTTTCTACTGGCAGGAAGATTTTACCTGGCATTTAAAACAATGATGGACAGCTTTTCATTGTCTTCCTGAAAGCCACTGTCTTCAACTGGGTCATGGCCCTTTAAAGGTCCTGGTGTGACTGGTGCCCAGGAGTCAGCACTGTGTGTGCTCTGTGCAGTTTAACACATGGCACCAGGCCACACACAGACAGACCTTTGTGACTACCGCAGTGGAACTTAAATCCTGAAGGTGAAGACAAAATCTGCATATACAACAAACTTCATTATTTAGGGTCAGTGCTGATAGGAAGAGCGACGTTTCAAAATATAGACCTACCTAGTTCCTTACCTTATCGGTCTCCTTACACTTCTGCCTCTCCCTCAGGCTGTTGGCCCAATCATGTGCTGCCTGCAGTCGAGGTACTTTCCAAGTTGTCTTCTCCTTTTCTGACTTACAGATGCTTTGATAACGTTTCTATCACCAGCAAACCAGGTACCTAGCACACGCGGTCTACTTGGTTAACCCCAAGCGGCTGTGAGTAGAGAAGACCCTGAGATCAGGGCCGGAAAAGCCATTACTGGAAAGTCTTTGCATGTTTGAGAGCCCAGAAGAGAGGGCAGCAGGGGCAATGGACTTTGTGCCAAGGGAAAAAAAAGTACATCTGAGTATTCGGAGTCAGATGGGATTCATTGCTGACGTCTGTGATTATTTCCTGTGTGGCTTTGGTTGGATCACTTGGTTTCTTTAAACTTATTTTTTCCTCTGTAAAGCCTTAATGGAGTTGTTAACAATGATTACAAACTCTTCACCTACTTTATATGACTTGATCTTCTAAACTCGTTATGAGCTAGGTATTATAAGCTGCATGTTAATAATGAAAAAACTGAACGAAGGTAAGAGAGGTTAAGGGATTTGCCCAAAGTTACACTTCTAGTAAGTAGCAGAGATGAGATTTAAACTTCAAATCTAGTGGCGTTTTTGCAGGATTTGTGTGCTAAGTGCAGCATATGCCTGGGAGATGTTCATGTTTTCTGTGTACAGAAGATGGGTGTGTGTTTGTAAATAAATACAGAGAGGAGTGTGGTGGGTATTTTTCTTTGTTTAGACTATGAAGGATAAGCCATCGCTGTGTAACCAAAGCCTCCACCTTCATTTCCTGCCTCTGTGAAGCTCCTCTGCCCATATTGTACCTCCTCCTTTTTCTGGAATTTAGGGCATAGGAGCTTTACTAGTGTCAGAGAGAAGAGAGAAAAAAAAAAAAAGGAGAAGAGAAAATTCACAGCATCACCTAGAGGTGAAATTTGTTTAAATTAAATTATATGCTATTCCCAGCATTGATTCTAAATTGTCGCAGATGTTCATGAAGTGTTAAGATCCCACCCCCTTCTTTAAAGAAGAGCTATTATTAAAGTTTTATTTTGAATAATTTTAAGATATCAAGTTTTTGTAGTCATGTGTGAATTATGTATAAATAAAACATCAATCCTTTCATTATAACTACATTGATGTCTTACCTAAGTGTATGATTCTCAAAAATCATACTTGATTTGCTTGAAGGTAAATAACTGCACATTTGAGGAGCTCATGGTCTATAAAGAGAAATCGCCCTTGATTAAGTTATTTAAAGGAATATTGAAGACCAGAAATTAGATTTATAGAGAGGGCTCACTTAACTTCCTGCCTCTGTGATTAGAGACCCTATAAGCAGAGGGGGTGGGACAATCATGTTCCTGAGACAGCGGAATCATTTTCAGAGTGAAGGCTGAATCAGTAAAAGCCCAAGAGAGGGGAGGGGCCGATGAGCTGTACAGGTGTCTCTCATCCTCTCTTGATCCCCTAAGAAGATGCCCTTGTGTCAGATGCTTGAGTTTTGGTCGATTCGCAGATCTTTCATTCCGTTGCACAGAGACAAGGTGACTGCCTGCCGTGTCTCAGGCAGTGGAGATTCTTGAGAACAACTTCT